GACAATTACAAATCCACTGACCAAGCAGAAAAATGTAGAGAAACAGAATGCTTCAATAACACAATTAACTAGATTGATCTAATTTACATACACATTCAATAGACAACATACTTTTTTCCCAAAATACACATGGAATATTTTAAAAAGACCATCATTTAGACCATAAAGGATAATAGCATACATCCTGCAGGCCATATTTACTGACTACAGTTCAAGAAAATTCAAAATTGTAAATAATTGTCTAAAGAATATTGAGGAAAGCAAAATTAAATTATCTATTTGAAAATTAAAAAAAATTTCCCCTAAACAACTGACGTTAAAATGTAATCATAACAGAACATATCACTATTAGAAATAAATGATGGGAGTGCTAACATACCAAAACTGCAAAGAAAGCACTATTCAGAGGAAAGTTTGTATCTTTAAGTGGCATTTATTAGAGCACAAAGACGACTGAAAATAATTAAGTTTTTAACTTAAGAGACTAGAAAGAAAGTAATAAGATAAACCCAGTCCAGAGTTCTTTCCACTACAGTTCACTAATGCTTCTTATTAATGGAAGTTTGGAATATCATTCCTTTGTTTTTGTTCACACCTATTATTTAATTCTAATATTTGGATATTTGCTTTTCTGTCATATAGAGGAAGTGCTGCCTATGAATTTTACATGTCCACAAAATATAAGAATTAAAGAAAAGACGTTAACATCTAATGCTGTTGTGTCCTTTGCCTAAGGAAAAGTCATTGAGGAGTAGAAGACTCTAGAATGGAAACATTCTTTTCTTTTTTTTTTTTTTTTTTTTTTTTTTTTCTTTTTTGAGACAGTCTTACTCTGTCACTCTGGCTGGAGTGGTGTGGTGCAATCTTGGCTCACTGCAATGCAACCTCTGTCTCTGGGGCTCAAGCTGTTCTCAGGCCTCAGCCTCCGAGTAGTTGGGATTACAGGAGCATGCCACCGCACTTGGCTAATTTTTGTATTTTTAGTAGAGACAGGGTTTTGCCGTGTTGGCAAGGCTGGTCTCGAACTCCTGTCCTAAAGTGATCCTCGGCCTCCCAAAGTGCTGGGATTACCAGCGTGAACCACCATGCCCAGCTTAGAAGGGAAACATTATTAGGGTCTTTAGGGTCCCAGGAAGCAGTTTCAAAGCTGTCCAAGAATAAAGGAAAGAGCATTGCTGTTTTGAATATTAATGTAGAGAGCTGTTTTTGTAATAATGAGCAGGAACCATATGTGCATATTATGTTACAATTAGGAAAATGTTTATATTTACAGTATGAATTTTTACTGTATTTCTTTAATAATTACTATTTTTCCTCAAGAGGGCTGTATGTAAATTTGCCTCTTGATTTTACACTTGTGAAGATTGAAGAGCTGTTATTTGAACTTCATTCTAGAGAGTCCTTATTCCTCATGGTGCTCTGTAAGTTCACTTTTGAAAATAAATCAATATAGCATTCTATAAAATATGACACACAAGGTTGGGCTCGGTGGCTCACGCCCATAATCCCAGCAGTTTGGGAGGTCGACGCGGCTGGATCACCTGAGGTTAGGAGTTCCAGACCAGCCTGACCAGCATGGTGAAACCCTGTCTCTACTAAAAATACACAAATTAGCCAGGCGTAGTGGTGGGTGCCTGTAATCCCAGCTCCTTGGGAGGCTGAGGCAGGAGAATCTATTGAACCTGGGAGGCGGAGGTTGCAGTGAGCTGAGACTGCGACTGCATGCCAGCCTGGGTGACAGAGTGAGACAGAAAATAAACAAACAAAAAACAAAAACAGACACCTAGGAAGCTGTTTTTCTTTTTTGAATCTTTCATCAGTCATTTTAAGTGAATGGACTCAATGCTGGGATTGTTACTTTTACCTGGACATGAGAGTCCTACTTGATGCCTGTCTCGGCCCTTAATTCCTTTTTACCGAACCCGGCCCCTCCCTAACACAAATTACATTCTACTTCACTGTGAAAGGTTCCCATGAGCCTACATTTCTTTTCTTTTCCTTGCTAAAATTATTCTTCTTCCCTGCAATGCACACCTTATCTTCTCAGAACAGAAGACCTCAGTGGACTATTAGGAAGGTCTCACATCTCCTTGGGCCCAATCGTCATCCTTTAAAATACTTATTTAATTTTTTTTTCCCTTGGTGATTTACTGGTTGAGTTTGATTTCAGGGCTCTTGTAACCATAAATTACTTACTTGGAATGAGTGATTAGAGGATCCTAACTGCTGGAATATTCTCTGTTTGGGAAATAAGTTATTTTTACATACACTCATAGATGTGCATGTGGCAGAGGAATTATATCTGTAATGGGATAAAATTTGTATGTTGAATCAATAGCTTCCTCTGACCTATAGGCTAAAATCCAGGCTTCTTGGTCTGGCAATAAAGGCTTGTCATAAATTGACCCCATGTATCTTTCTAATCTATTTTCTTTGTTTTGACTTCATAAACTTCGCTATAGAAATTATTTTCTGAACATTCATGAAAGATTCTAGATCTGGACCTTTACTTAATGTTACCTCTACCTAAAATGCTCTCTTGCTTTCATACTGTCTATTTAACTCCCTTCTAACAGCCATACAACTTTTCCATTCTCTTCCGTGAACATTCTCAGGCACTTTTCTACTTTCCACTCAGAGAACTTGAAATTTTCTTTACCACTCACTGCTGTCCAATTATATGATAACTCTTGAGTCGTTGCATATTAGTGCTTGATTTTTCTATGTTTTGATGTTAAGAGATGTGTGCTCTGAACACAAGACAATGTTTTTCTAGGTAACATAATACAGTGCTTCCTGCATTGTTGGCTCCTGTTTACTATCAATTGATTGGCAATTCATTGGTATGTAAATGACACTGCAGAAGATCTTGTATTCTTCAAGATTTTAATGGTATTTTCATACTAGAGATCTAAGCTGATGTTGATGGCTTCAGAAACAAGTGTGAAATTATGTAGAAACTGAAGCCACACTGCAAAAATACAGATAGACCACATGGTGGCAGCAAAGGTACATCATTATTTTTGCAGGTTTGCATTATGCTTGTCTAACCAGAGATTATAATTATCCTGTTAGTGAATCAAAAAGTATTGTAAATGTCTAATAAATAAACTTAGTGGAATGTTATAGAATGAGAATTTCTTAATATAAACAAATGCAAAAAGATCTTTGGATTTTTAATGGTCTTTATGTACAAAAGTAGCTCTTGCATCTTAAATTCTAGAACTTCTCCATATTGTTTCTCAGTCATGTTTCTCTTCCTCACTGTCTTTTCCCTCTCTACTATAAACATTTCATGAACATTAGGATGATGTTTTGTGACATTTGAATTTTGGGACTGTGGTCATTGATGGCTCACAGGGTATTGCACTGTGTAGAATGTGGACCTATACAAATTCCAGCTGGTGATAGTACACGTTGTTCTTTTGCAGGCAGGCCTCTTCTTAGGCATGATTCCTAAGTTTAATTTCCATGTGTAAAGTCATACTTAAAGTATGTAAACTGAAACAGATGTTAGTACTCTGAGAAGGCATTTGGTGCATGAAGAAACAGTTCCCTAGCTTCTTTTTCCACTCCCACTATTTTGAAAGCCCCTTTCAATAGAAAAAGGCCTCTGGAGAATCATCTAGTGTCTTTGACCCCATTAGTATGTAGCAATTCTTTCCTGGGAAACTGTTGTTTGAAGTAAATGTTAGATAGTACTTGAAACTCTTTTCTTAATAACAATATGATTTTCTTTCTTATAAATGCCAAGTTTTGTTTAACTGTTCTTTAATTAGAAAGCTGTTCACCCTCATCATGTTTTTTAAAAAAAATCAAACAAGATCTTATTGATATTATCATTTGAGTAATAACTCAGAACTTCTATTTTCCCAAAGACTTGCAGTAATAGTCACATGTTGACTCAACACCTACTTAACTTCTCACTGCTATAGTTCCAAATATTAAAATGCTATATTGATATGTGAAATACTTTGAGAGTCTACTGACATCTGAATTATGCTGGTGATAGTCCATAGATTTCCAACCATGTGATAATTTGTGCTTCCAATAATTTTCCAAAAAAAGTAGGTGGAGTTATTAGAATGAACACCTAACTACTTTCTTTTCTTCCTTGGTCTACCCTTCCCTTTCTCTTTTAAAAGGTATTTGTTGAGATTCTATCTCAGGTACTGTCCTAGAATTAAAAAAAAGATTGAAACAGGTCCTAGTCTTAAGGAACATTCATTGTAACTTAGGCTTAAAGCACATAGACATCAAATCCTAATTTATTATTATACTGGCAAAGAAAAAAATCTCTGTCAGCACAGAAGAGCCAATCTATACTTCTGAGAAAATAAAGAAGACTTTACAGAGAAGGTGATATTGGAGTTAGGTGTCAGTATTATTAATATCATCATTTAAAGATGGAAGATAATTTCTCTAGGCAGTAAATGGGAAGATACTGTCCAGATAGCAGAATGAAATGAGCACTAGTATGATGGGTTTGGGAAACATAAAAAAACACTGATACGGGTTTCTTAGAGACACATGGAGGGAGTAATTCAGTGATGAGAACAGAAAGAAAGGGTGAGTCCAGATTGAGTCATGCTTAAAGAGTTGGAAATATAAATGCAAAATTTTCTTTAATTAAAAGTTAATTATAATTTTAAAGTACTTTGACATATTACTTCAAGACGATAATATGTGACCATTCGTTTGTGCTGTAAAAATTTAGTTATTCTTAATGTTAGTGAGTTGCCTTCTAATTGCATTCATAAAATACATCAATTCACTAAAAATTTAGGAAATTGCATGTATATTCACATAATTTTTGTTTTGTTATCTAAACATAAACAAGCCTTGAATTTGTCTTTGTATCAAATCACTCAAGTCCGTATATCTAACTTCTAGATAAAAAAACAGAGCTTTATTGAAAAATGTGGCAGATATATGATTATAATGCTGTGTTAGTGTTTATTTGATAATTATTTGGTCTTTTTTTTTTTTTTTTTTTTAAGAGAGAGAGTGTCACTCTGTTATTCAGGCTAGTGTGAAGTGGTGTGATCATAGCTCATTGCAGCCTCGAACTCCTAGGCTCAAGCAATCCTCCTACCTCCAACTTCCCAGCAGCTAGGACTGCAGGTATGTACCACCATGCCTGGCTAATTTTTTTTTTTCATTTTTTTGTAGAGATGGAGTCTCGGTCTGTTGTCCAGGCTGGTCTTGAACTCCTGGCCTTGAGCAATCCTCCCAACTTGGCCTCTGAAAGCTCTGGGATTACATGGCATAATTTGTCTTTTGTTAATGGCCAAGTTTGATGACTAAATGGTATCTCTAATATTTATTAAATATGATGGAAATCATTTAATTAGACAATATATTCCTCTCAAACTAAAACAAATTTCAAAGTGTATATGTAGAAAGTTATGTTAAAAAATAAATTCTGTTATTTTATCTAGCTTTTAGTATCACTGATGGAAATGATTCAGTAGCTCTCTCTTTTCATAACTTATCCTATAAAAATAACTTAAATTCCTCTACTTCTGATTGAAAGTGTGACCTAAAGTATTTCATGTACAGAATATAACATACTTCTAAGAGAGAAGCTTTCATATTGGTGTCTTCCATTAACTGCATGACATTGAACTCTCTCTTTATTTTTTCAGCCTGAACTATAATTATAAAGCAAACAGATTCTAAGTGTTCTACTTTCCATTTTAAAGTTTCCATCAAACTGTGGTTTGGGTGTGGATGGAAAACTATTATGACATTCTTTAGGTTTTCAAGTCTGCTTGAGTGATTTCTTACATAAACAGTAAAGCTTCAGTAATTTCATTAGGAAAACCACTTAGAAAATAATTGGTTAATTTGTCACCAATAAATTCAGTATTATAAAAAGGTGTTATAAAGCTTGTATTTTTATTTTTCCATTACAATAATTCCATTTTTAGAATTAAATGAATAGTTTTTAAGAAATTAAGTAGTAGTTCTATTCTGAATTTATGCAATTATTGACGTTTTCCCATCTTGTTTCCCAGTTAGAAGTAGAAATCTAAATCTCATTTCTAAGACTTCTCACAGAAAGTGTTAATGACAAACTAACCATAATTTTCTTATTTCATTAATTCCTTACCGAATGCTATAGAAAATGCTAATTGAATAATGAAACTTGCATTCCTGACTGACTAGGGCATGTGCCTTAGCATTAAGAGTGGATTTAAGCTGGGTGCTAGTGCCTGTAGTCACAGTTACTCAGGAGGCTGAGGTGGGAGGATTGCTTGTACTCAAGAATTCGAGGCTACAGTGAGCTATGATCATGCCACTGTATTTCTCTCTGGGTGATAGATCCAGATCCTATCACTAAAAAAAAAAAAAAAAAAAAAAAAAAAAAGAGTAGGTTTATAAAAATCTATAAAATGTCAGGCTTTTTCTAGAATTCTGTAAGCAGAATCTATCCTGTGTCATTTTGTCGGTGTAATTTTCTGTTGAAACAAAAACCTACCAGTGATTTTCAGAGAAGAGAGGAAAGTATATCTCTAAAGAAGGATAAATGCCATGGAGTGAAAAATTTATAAATGAAACTTCCAGTAAGGGAATAAATGGGTGCATTTTTCAGGTAAATGACTTATGGTCACAAAAATTGTATTTGTAATCAGACTATAGACACCCTGCTATTCCATTTTGCTTTGTTTCCAGGTTAGGTTTCTGCCACCAAAGTCAAGAGGACCAGTTGAATTAATAATTCAGTTCATTATATCAAAAAATTTAACAGACTCACAAATGTATCTGGATAACTCAGTATAATGTGGTTAATTGATCGTGTTCATATTAAATGAAGTGCCTTTCATCACTATCAACCACTTTTCTACATAAGACCAACAGAGTATTAGTGATGGTGATTGTATCCTGTATGACTTTTAGCTGGTGTTTAGAAAGATGGTGAAAAGTAAGGGTGATAGTAAAAAGATAAATTACTACATATAATTTATGTTATTTTAATATTTATTAAATTCCAACCTAAAGCATGACTATTAATGGTCACCATGGCCACTGAATTTTATTCTCTGAGTTACTTTCCTTTTTATGATTCATATCCTGGGGTCTTCAGACCAATATTAAGAATTAATAGTCACAAAATGTTTTGAGTCTGATTCGAATGTAGTATGACGACTCTATTTACATATTAATGCCATGTATGTACTTCCTTCCCTCATCACACCATCTGAGAGGCAGAAAACAAAACTGGGTGTATGGCCAGGCACTATGGTTTATATACAAAGGGAAGTACAGTAATGTCTTTGAGACTGAATTAGTTTGCCTTTAGCTTCAGTTTCAGCTAGAGCCTCTGATTTCAGATAACTTATTATTTTTCTCTCAAGTTTTGTATTCATTTAGGATTATCCTTCACTTACTTGAAATGGGTCCTTTGCACAAAACAATTTGGCTAAATAATGCAGCACAATTTCTTTGCAGCCCCAGATTAGAGGGTATTTCATCATGATCTGTAAATCAAACACACGAATCTAGGTCAAGGATGGCCAGGTAAACAGAGATAGTCAACTCAATCTTGGTTTGAACAGCCTGAAATGATGTGGTCTATTTTCACTATCAAAAATACTGCATCCTCAGTGAAAGGTCTTTCACTTGCCATAATGAGGCCTGGAGTTTAAGCTACTGTTACTGGAAAGGCAACCTTAATATTTTTATTTTAATAATATTAAATTTTAATTTAATATTAATTTTTAAATTTTTAAATTTTTAATTTAATTTAATTTTATTATACTTTAAGTTCAAGGGTACATGTGCACAACGTGCAAGTTTGTTACATATGTATACATGTGCCATGTTGGTGTGCTGCACCAATTAACTCATCATTTACATTAGGTATATCTCCTAATGCTATCCCTCACCACCCCTCCCGACAATAGGACCTGGTGTGTGATGTTCCCCTTCCTGTGTCCAAGTGATCTCATTGTTCAATTCCCACCTATGAGTGAGAATATGCGGTATTTGGTTTTCTGTTCTTGGCAATAGTTTGCTGAGAATGGTGGTTTCCAGCTGCATCCATGTCCCTACAAAGGACATGAACTCATCCTTTTTTATGGCTGCATAGTATTCCATGGTGTATATGTGCCACATTTTCTTAATCCAGTCTGTCACTGATGGACATTTGGGTTGATTCCAAGTCTTTGCTATTGTGAATAGTGCCACAATAAACATACGTGTGCATGTGTCTTTATAGCAGCACGACTTATAATCCTTTGGGTGTATCCCCAGGTGGCTGGGTCAAATGGTATTTCTAGTTCTAGATCCTTGAGGAATCACCACACTGTTTTCTGCAATGGCTGAACTAGTTTACAGTCCCACCAACAGTGTAAAAGTGTTCCTATTTCTCCATATCCTCTCCAGCACCTGTTGTTTCCTGATTTTTTAATGGTTGCCATTCTAACTGGTGTGAGATGGTATCTCATTGTGGTTTTGATTTGCATTTCTCTGATGGCGAGTGATGAACATTTTTTCATGTGTCTGTTGGCTGTATGAATGTCTTCTTTTGAGAGTGTTCATATCCTTTGTCCACTTTTTGATGGGGATGTTTGTTTTTTTCTTGTAAATTTGATTGAATTCTTTATAGGTGCTGGATATTAGCCCTTTGTCAGATGAGTAGATTGCAAAAATTTTCTCCCATTCTGTAGGTTGCCTGTTCACTCTGATGTTAGTTTCTTTTGCTGTGCAAAAGTTCTTTAGTTTAATGAGATCCCATTTGTCAATTTTGGCTTTTGTTGCCGTTGCTTTTGGTGTTTTAGACATGAAGTCCTTGCCCATGCCTATGTCCTGAATGGTATTCCCTAGGTTTTCTTCTAGGGTTTTTATGGTATTAGGTCTAACATTTAAGTCTCTAATGCATCTTGAATTAATTTTCGTATAAGGAGTAAGGAAAGGATCCAGTTTCAGCTTTCTACTTATGGCTAGCCAATTTTCCCAGCACCATTTATTAAATGGGGAATCCTTTCCCCATTTCTTGTTTTTCTCAGGTTTGTCAAAGATCAGATGGCTGTAGATGTGTGGTATTATTTCTGAGGGCTCTGTTCAATTCCATTGCTCTATATCTCTGTTTTGGTACCAGTACCATGCTGTTTTGGTTACTGTAGCCTTGTAGTATAGTTTGAAGTCAGGTAGCGTGATGCCTCCAGTTTTGTTCTTTTGGCTTAAGATTGTCTTGGCAATGCAGGGTCATTTTTGGTTCCATATGAACTTTAAAGCAGTTTTTTCCAATTCTGTGAAGAAAGTCATTGGTAGCTTGATGGGGATGGCATTGATTCTATAAATTACCTTGGGCAGTATGGCCATTTTCACGATATTGATTCTTCCTATCCATGAGCATGGTATGTTCTTCATTTGTTTGTGTCCTCTTTTATTTCACTGAGCAGTGGTTTGTAGTTCTCCTTGAAGAGGTCCTTCACATCCCTTGTAAGTTGGATTCCTAGGTATTTTATTCACTTTGAAGCAATTGTGAATAGGAGTTCACTCATTATTTGACTCTGTTTGTCTGTTACTGGTGTATAAGAATGCTTGTGAGGTTTGCACATTGATTTTGTATCCTGAGACTTTGCTGAAGTTGCTTATCAGCTTAAGGAGATTTTGGGCTGAGATGATGGGGTTTTCTAAATATACAATCATGTCATCTGCAAACAGAGACAATTTGACTTCTTCTTTTCCTAACTGAATACCCTATATTCCTTTCTCTTGCCTCATTGCCCTAGCCAGAACTTCCAACACTATGTTGAATAGGAGTGGTGAGAGAGGGCATCCCTGGCTTGTACCAGTTTTCCAAGGGAATGCTTCCAGTTTTTGCCCATTCAGTATGATATTGGCTGTGGGTTTGTCATAAATAGCTTTTATTATTTTGAGATATGTTCTATCAATACTGAATTTATTGAAAGTTTTTAGCATGAAGGGCTGTTGAACTTTGTCAGAGGCCTTTTCTGCATCTATTGAGATAATCATGTGGTTTTTGTCTTTGGTTCTGTTTATATGCTGGATTACATTTATTGATTTCATATGTTGAACCAGCCTTGCATCCCAGGGATGAAGCCCACTTGATCATGGTGGATAAGCTTTTTGATGGGCTGCTGGATT